AATTTTCCATTGGTCATTTCTAAACGCTATTGAGTATATGTATGCATTTGCTAAGGGAGTGTTGCGTTTGGGAAAATTCACAAATAAAATGCGAATAAATTGTACTGCTTGAAATGTTATTGAACCTACGAATTTATTCAGAGACAGAGTGAATATCTAAATTTCTGACTATTACTTTTTCAGCACATGCAAGTCAGCCTCCGGGGTTGATTCTCCGCTATTTCTCAAAAGTTCAGAACGTGCAGGTATTGAATGGAATGCAGTGATAGGAATTAAATATTTACCTGGTTCGTTACACAATTATAATTAAACCCTTAATAAATTTGTAATCGTTATAATCTCTGAACAAAAAAATATATATTTTTAGATATAAAGTGCTATGATTTCTTAAACTGTTCGACCGCTTATCGGATCCACCAATTGTCTTTAGGTCAGTAACCAGGACACAGAAAACCCGCACATACCCAGCTTCATAGATTATTCTATCGATTATTGTATTGGAGCCACCATTTGTGAATTGTGGTAAATGGCTTTAGATTCGTAGTTAGCGATTCGTAAATCCCCTAGATAAGAAGTTGTGTAAAAATTTATCAAAATGTATTTGATTAAATAATTTCGTCCAGCTAGATTTCCGTCCGAACCACCGTACAGTGTTAGCGAAATTGCTTCAGCTGGTGATTCATAAGCATAATATGCGTCGATGCGGAAGCTGACAACGCTACATATTTCAATAAATTTTGATCTCTAAAACGGGACCGACCCTATCTTATATGAACACTAGCAATTACCCGGCGTGCTTCGCTGCGCCTTAAATGTATTTTTGTGTTGTAACTCTCCCCCTAAGCTCTTATGGCCTCATTTACAAAATATTTTTAAAGAACTTTAGGGAGTAGGGAGATTTTTTCAAATTATATAAATATACGTTATTTGAATATTGAATTAATACACGTTTGAGGAAAGGGTGCGATAGTAGACTCCAGTTATAAGATTATAAATTAAATTGTTGTCAATGTTTTTTAATAATTGTAAACATTCGCCAGCTGTTTCTGTTTATTTATTAGTAAAAGGCAGGACTGCCAATCTTGCGGCAAAACAATAATAAAAATCCAAAAAAACACGTAAAGCCAAACAGAATTAATTGCAAAACGTGCAATGATACACACATTAAATTTCTTATGTGCACCCTCCACACAGACCCCAATCACTTCTGAAAATTTCATTTTATGTGCACCCTCCACACAGACCCCAATTACCCCTGAAAATTTCATTGAAATCGGGCAAGCCTTCTAGGAATGATAGAAATCTCTTATGTGCACCCTCCACACAGACCCCAATCACTTCTGAAAATTTCATTTTATGTGCACCCTCCACACAGACCCCAATCACCCCTGAAAATTTCATTGAAATCGGGCAAGCCGTCTAGGAATGATAGAAATCCGAAAAAAACACGTAAAGCCAAACAGAATTAATTTTTTTTTTTGTTTTTGCAAAACGTGCAAAGATACACACATGAAATTTCTTATGTGCACCCTCCACACAGACCCCAATCACCCCTGAAATTTTCTTTGATATCGGGCAAGCCGTCTAGGAGGAGTATGCGAACAGGAAGTTTTGCCACTTAATTTTATATATATAGATATGTAGATGTTTTGACGCTGATTTCAAATCCAATTGCGCCATACTCAGACGCGGCGTATGAGTAAAATTCTTTTTTGTCCATATTTCTTAAAAAAATAATGATTTGACCATTCACCATTATTTTTTTTATTCATCAATTTTCTTTGTTGCTTGGTCTGGCGCAATAAGAAGGTGAATTAATAAAACAGCTTTCTTGCTTTATTTTCTAACATTGGACTTCCTTATAGTCAAGGTGTATTAAACAAGGTGTGATAGTTTTGTTTTACTTACATTACCTGGAATATATATATTTCGTCAATAAAAGTTTTAGCAATTTTCTTGTTTTTAATTGCCCAAGTTTTATGCTTTTGCGCGTTTATTTTTATACTTAAATTTTTAATCCTAAACATTATTCGACACTTACAAAAGTAGGATTTTACATTTGTTTCCAATTTTATATGTGAGCTTAACTCTAACAATTTTGAAATTAAATTTTTTTCATGCGAAATAGTTTTACATTAAAGACTTTGCTGCGAGCAGCTTTAAATTAAGCTCTTCCATACTTGCTTGCATGGTTTTAATTATTTCGGTAAGAGGAAATACTTCTGTTCTCAACGCGCATTCTAAAGAGTCGCCTGTTTGAGTTTGGACGTCAACAAAGAATGTATCCTGATCGCGTACTAAATCCTCACTTGTATCAGTTATTTCGTATGGCATTGGGACTGCGCATGGGTATCAACGAGCTCGTTGGAAAGTGTTTGATTTAGACATCACTTTCCTTGAAGTGGTTTTCACAAACGCGAGAGGAATCACGCAGTACAACACCACAGCTTTCTTCCCATCGCTGCCGTCTTAATTCGCAACTAGGTGGTTTAAAACATCGCACTGTTTTCGTGTCCTGACTTTTATTGCATTCAGCGCACCGTTCAAACGTTTTGCTCCGTTTCATCTTGGTTTCCTTACATTAAATATTTAAGAAAAGTCGAATGTATTTACTTATTACCCAACTTTAAATGTACTTACTAGCTCTCCTCGGCGGTTTATCTCTTAAAAATTTCCCGTTTATTAAGAAAATTTGTTGCTTGAAAAATTTGTGTGTAACTTTTTTTT